CTCAAAGTAACACCCTTGCTTTCTAACCTTCTAGGGAGGTCGTGTGCAGCAGACTTAGCCAGTGCGGTGCATCTTGTGGCCTCTTGACTGCTGCTTCCACGAGCGTGGGTTGTGAAACCCAGCCCCAGCAAGACAGAATCCTTGACAACGTCAGTCTTTTCTCCATTGATCATGCTCTTACCTCTTGGCCCCGTTTCGAGGATTATGCTTTTTTTTACATTGAGTCCTAATGCGTACTGGAGCCTGGAATTCTTGATCTCCATCAAAGTGCTCCAAGTCCTCCTTGCTGTCAGCAAGCAAAGTTTTGCGGATATGAGTTGTGCAAAGTTGTGAGATGTGAGTCATCTGTATATCTCAGGTTGTTAGTAAACCTTCCTCCAATCCTGATGCCACAATTCTTTTTCATGTCATCCAGCCTCGCTGATTACTTACTCAGAACTTCTCCAGGAATTGGTAACCCCCAAACTTGGTGGAGACATGCTTTATTGTGGTCTTTGCATGGTGGGAGTGTTCAGGGACTGAGCTCCCGCCCCTCCAAATTCTGAGGCCTGCTAGTACTTTTATATATATCTGTAAAGGGGTTTTATTTCTCGGTCCTCCGGAGAGCCCATCCTACGCCACAACCTTTGACCCACAGGCCTTGTGGTTGACTTTGACTTGAGAGTTTGGAAGCCAGGATCCCAGTGGTTGCACTTGGAAGAAGTCCTGATGGAAGAAGACAGTCCTGATGGAGCGTCGGGACTTCAGCTCTGCAGACAGTTTCTCCCAGCACGGTGGGTGGCATCACCTGCAGCTGCCTCTGAGAGTCAAGCGCAGCACCTCCGATGACTACTGGACGCAGGGACCGCAGTGTCCCGGGAGGCCAGGCAGGGGAACTCTGGCCTGTGCGTGGTTGGGAAGTGATGGTGGCAGGCAGCCTGTGCCGTCACTGTCAACAGCAAACCGTGCCGAGGGCACGCTCACCCTGAGGAGTCTGCTCTGACTCACCGCTGCTCTTGTCAAGGGTAAGGAGAAGCTGTACTTCCTCCTGGTCCTTTCTGGGGATGGCCCTAAACCATTTGGGTTTGGAAATCTGGTGTAGCCTTGATCTTCGGGTGGATGGTTGAATAAACTGTTTTGTTTTTTTTTTCTTTTTGCAATTTCAGAATAGTTACCTTGATGTTTCGATTTGCACATTTAAAAGATGTGACTACCACAAGTGCATTCACGGAGGGTCAGGCAGGCTTATTGTATGAAATAACTAGGTTGGAATAATATTTTGTGTTCAGTAAAATAAGGGGAAATATTAATATACAACTAACCAAGAAAGGGCCAAAGCACTTGTGAGTGTATCACCAATAGTCTTGGTTTTCTCAGGCACCAGGTGGATTTCCCTTTTCTGATTTGGAAATGGCATTGACTTTAAACACCTTCTCCCTCTGGCTTCTTCAGTATCACAGGGTATCACGAGGTCAGACCACCAGTGGATTGACCTCGAGGTCAGGACCTTAGTTAGTCTCTGGGGATAACAAGTCCTACGGGCATTGGAATGCCCTGGACAGATGGGAAAACTGTGAAACAGGATTCCTTCATAAGAAAGACCAGGCTGATCTATGGGTCCCCAAAACTGTGGCCCGTTACCTTCAAGTCTGGACTGGACTCCCCATCACAGATTAACCAATGGTTTAACAGCAAAGGGGCAGCATGGCCCCAAAGGCAGAGCTCAGAGGGGCACACAAGGCCAGGAAAGGAAACAGACAGCACAGGGAGGGCTGAGGACCCACTGAGGGCATGACCGTTGGCGGGCTGACACACGTGTAGGGACTGTTGAAGGTAAACCCCACGATCTGCCCTGGAAACCTTCACCTGATTCACAGTTCTAGTAATAAGCAGGTGATTTCTTTCCTGGGTTTTTTGCAGTAAGTCAGACTTCTGAGAAGGAGCGGGGGCAGGGATGTCCCAGGAGAGAAGAGACACTGTGACCGTGTAGCACACTCCCAGGTCATAGTCGAACCTCCCTGTGCTCTGAGAGGCTCAAGAAAGGCTGTGACAAGTGTTTCCTCATATCCGCTGGAGCCAAAGCTGGAGGCACAGGGGGGACAGAGGGCACCAGCCTGTGGCCTGAACCTCCCCCAGTGGCAGGGCTCAGCCACTTAGCCAGTCAGTCCCCCCAAA